ATTCTAGCACAAGTAATGGTTGTCAAGCAATGACAACCCCCAACCTATTGTCACCCCACACGGTGATGCGCTAATGCTGAAAATTAATGGGTTAAGCCAATTTACCAGAGCGGACGTGTCTGAGTTCGTATAATCGAGAGAGATGCGAATTTGCTGCTTTAGGGCCACCACTATTCCCCCTAAAGATTCAGCAAATATAACAATTCTAATAAGCAACAAATGCAGATTGAAGGTAGGGGCAAAATCGTCCAATCTTTTCTGCACAACCTGAAACACTAAACCAAACACATTAGTACGTTCAGCAAATCAAAATGAGTGAAATGGCACGAAAAAATTGTGCAGGCAGTCCTCCACGCCCCACGCGCCTCACCACCGAAGGCGCCTCCACCTGCTGGTTATGGGTCCGACCTCCGTTCGTCCAACAGAGGTTGCATTTTGGTCGAAATTGACAATTTCAGATTTGGCCCCTTTGAGAAATTGCGAGACCAGCCACCGTTTTTGTCGATTTTTGGCCAGAGAAGATGATCGGCAGCTCTGATACCAAATGTAGCGCCAAATTTCGGCCAACACCAAGGTAAACCGGGCTCATTTTCACCAAGAAATTGCGACACCAACGGGTTGAGATAACTCCAAACCACCACCAACGCCGCCCCACTTCCGGTTGCTATTAGTTGGGCAAGATGAAGAACAATAATATGCCGACTTGAAATAAACCACAAAGGTCATTGAGAAGAGAAGGAAACGAGGGGAGAGTGTCACAGAGAGAGGTTGGGCATCCTTGATATGAAGGCCAAGAGGAAGGCCAAGAATATAAGCCAAGCAAATAATCAAACAAGGTAAGTTAGGTTAGGGTTATTTAGTGGACCAAACAAGGCTCGACTCAAAGATAATGGGCTTCAAATTAATAACATAACCCTCCAAGGAAATGGGACGAACCGTGAGCAACACTATTAACAATAGGTTGCTTCGAATGGTTCAAAGGAATGTGGATTGGGTTGTCTCGATAATTGTGTCGATATACTAATCAATCACATGTCCAAGGCCGATTGATAATAGAACCGGGGTTACATCATAGCCCGGGGGGGTCGTTTGACAACAATTGCCTAACAATAAAGTAATTCAAATCCTCACCCTTGATATGACCCTTGATAGTCAAATTTATCATTTCTCTTCTCATGAGATTCACACCCCCAAATTTAATTTATTTTTAACTCTTTCCTAAAGTTTGATCTAAGATTGAATTTATATACTAGTCATCATTCTCTCTAGTTTGGTTAGAACTTACTGATTGCAGTTTAATATATCAATAAATGAAGATTTTCCTTTTGATTGCTTCAACAATCAAGAATCAATTAGGTTAATAATTCCTTGTTAAAAGTCTAATTCTCTCAAAGAAGTGTTCGGGCTTAATCAAGGATTGTAACAATTTTTTTCTTTTCTTTTTATATAGATATTTCTCTCTCTATTTTTTCTCATCTTATGTGCGGACTTCTCTACATTAAGCTTTCTAAATGATCCCTGTAGTGAGCTTTTGGCTGATGACTTTAGGGCACCAAATTTTAAATATACTTGTAGGTTTAATCACTCGAGTTATGAAGGCTATGAAGAGATATTTCACAATGAGACACACTTTTCTTTTCTTTTTTTTCATGTAATGATTAGCGCAATGCATTTTATTAAAAACTTATTCTCAAAAAATTGACCCATAATTTAAGATTTTCAC